TCTGGTGCTACCAGGTGATTGTGCGTCATTTAGAACTGCTGGCGGCCCATGTCAACACTGCTCATGATTGGCTGCTAGGGTTTACTCAGCCAAGCTTTATAATGGGGCTCAAAGAGGAAGAAAAACAGTGGAGGAGGAGGAAGAATGTATACATGCTGTCATCTCATGCTTGGACATACAGGACAAAGGCACTGACTGTATCCCGAAATAATTCCCAATTTGTCACAGCCAGGTGTGAAATACACACAGTGTTCAGATCATATATAGCATGGAGTAGAAATAGACACATTGCCAACATGCTTAATTTTCCAGAACTTCTCGCCACTGTGGAACCATTTCTGCCTCTTCCTACAAACCAGATCTTCTTGTAGTTTTCAGCTTGTTCATATTGGAACTAATGATGGGTTTTCATCAGCAACAGTTACAGTATTGTTCAAAATAATAGCAGTACAATGTGACTAACCAGAATAATCCAGGTTTTTAGTATATCTTTTATTGCTACATGGCAAACAAGTTACCAGTAGGTGCAGTAGATTCTCAGAAAGCAAACAAGACCCAGCATTCATGATATGCACGCTCTTAAGGCTGTGCAACTGGGCAATTAGTTGAAAGGGGTGTGTTCAAAAAAATAGCAGTGTCTGCCGTTGACTGTACAAACACAAAACTATGTTGTACAAACGTTTTTGTTTCTAGGATTTAGCAATCCTGTGAATCACTAAACTAATATTTAGTTGTATGACCACAGTTTTTTATAACTGCTTCACATCTGTGTGGCATGGAGTCAACCAACTTGTGGCACCTTTCAGCTGTTATTACACTCCATGATTCTTTAACAACATTCCACAATTCATTTACATTTCTTGGTTTTGCTTCAGAAACAGCATTTTTGATATCACCCCACAAGTTCTCGATTGGATTAAGGTCCGGGGATTGGGCTGGCCACTCCATAACATTAATTTTGTTGGTTTGGAACCAACACTTTGCTCGTTTACTAGTGTGTTTGGGGTCATTGTCTTGTTGAAACAACCATTTCAAGGGCATGTCCTCTTCAGCATAAGGCAACATGACCTCTTCAAGTATTTTGACATATGCAAACTGATCCATGATCCCTGGTATGCGATAAATAGGCCCAACACCATAGTAGGAGAAACATGCCCATATCATGATGCTTGCACCACCATGCTTCACTGTCTTCACTGTGTACTGTGGCTTGAATTCAGAGTTTGGGGGTCATCTCACAAACTGTCTGTGGCCCTTGGACCCAAAAAGAACAATTTTACTCTCATCAGTCCACAAAATGTTCCTCCATTTCTCTTTAGGCCAGTTGATGTGTTCTTTGGCAAATTGTAACCTCTTCTGCACATGCCTTTTTTTTCTGAAGAGGACATGCCCTTGAAATGGTTGTTTCAACAAGACAATGACCCCAAACACACTAGTAAACGAGCAAAGTCTTGGTTCCAAACCAACAAAATTAATGTTATGGAGTGGCCAGCCCAATCCCCGGACCTTAATCCAATCGAGGACTTGTGGGGTGATATCAAAAATGCTGTTTCTGAAGCAAAACCAAGAAATGTAAATGAATTGTGGAATGTTGTTAAAGAATCATGGCGTGGAATAACAGCTGAAAGGTGCCACAAGTTGGTTGACTCCATGCCACACAGATGTGAAGCAGTTATAAAAAACTGTGGTCATACAACTAAATATTAGTTTAGTGATTCACAGGATTGCTAAATCCTAGAAACAAAAACATTTGTACAACATAGTTTTGTGTTTGTACAGTCAACGGCAGACACTGCTATTTTTTTTAACACACCCCTTTCAACTAATTGCCCAGTTGCACAGCCTTAAGAGCGTGCATATCATGAATGCTGGGTCTTGTTTGCTTTCTGAGAATCTACTGCACCTACTGGTAACTTGTTTGCCATGTAGCAATAAAAAATATACTAAAAACCTGGATTATTCTGGTTAGTCACATTGTACTGCTATTATTTTGAACAATACTGTACATAGTTTGAAAAAAGTCAGATAGGGCAAAACACACAAGCAGCGTGACCTGCTGACATGTAGTACACTCGATTACCGTAGGCAGTTTTACTGGTAAGAACTTTTTATTTGCCATACCTGTTGTTATAGTATGTGCACATGAGTTTCCTTTGTATGAGGGGTTATTAGAGATACTACAAATGTGCTCACCTCTGTTTCTACTTCACAAGATAATCTGGCTACACTGCTGACCAAGTTGCTGTCTGATAGCTTATGTTTCTTGCCCTGTAAAATTTCATTAATGTTATAACCATTCATAGCAAATTACAAAAATAAAACCCAAGTAGTCATAAACTAAGCTCTGGAGTTCACCCTTTTTGTGATACTCATAACATGTACTGTATGTTTTAGTAGGAAATGAAAATCATAATCAGTGTGCTAGATCCACCATGCCATTATAGCATGATCTTACATTTCCAGTTTCCTGCAACAGATGGGTCGACATAAACTTTGTGACGCATCAGCCTTTGAGTTGGACTCATTCTAATTATTTTGACAGGTCAGTTTACACAGCTGCTAGACGTTTACAGAGTGAGTGATTGGCCAAATGTCTCACATCGATTAGGTCTGAAATGCAAATGACAAAGCTGAATATGTCAGTCTAAACATATAGTCTAAACCCATGTATTTGAATGCTGTTTACATATCATAGCATTTCATGCCTGTGCCAATTGAATATGAATGTTGCCGGTGAGCACGTTGCACTAGAATATTGTTTTGACTACTGCTTGTGCCAATTACTATAATTATGTTTAACACAGAATGTCAAATTGCTCTATATTTGGCAATGATTTTTCTTGGGGTGCAGTTGGCTCATGCTCAGTTGCTCCTGGAACATGCCTGTACATAAGTGGCCTGAAACTTAACCCCTTCCAGGGCTGATGCTCAGCCATAACACAGACTGGAGGAATGCCAGGCTGATCCTGTTTAGCAAAACAATATCTGCAGTGAGAAGTTCCAGAGGCTTTTTGTCTTTTTACATTTTTTTTCTCAAGGTAGAGTACTGGCATAAACAAACAGTATGTGGTAATAGGAAGAGAGGCATTGTGTAACTGGAACATGAGTATATTAGTCAGCCTCACACACTTTCTCACACACATACAGTCTCAGGTGCTTATGAGTGGTCACAACACCTGCACTTGAATGAATGCATGTACTCACTTCTCCACCCAAATTTATGAATGCACAACATTTCACGTAAGCTCAGACAAACTAGTGCAAACACACATTAATACAGTCACACACCCAAACACACCTCCTTGCTTCAAGCCTCGTCACTTTGCTTGACTTCCTTCAGGATTTTTCACAGCTGCACTGAGAGTTTCACAATCAGCGTCACTGGGGTTGACTTTACCTACTTCAGTCTGGCCCCATTAGAGGGAACATGGTGGGGGAATGTCTTCTACCTAACAACAGCTAGCTTGTACCTCAGCGCATTCTAGTCCAGACGGGCGTTTTATCCATCAGCCATACATCCCCAGCTGTCTCTTAATCACCACGGGTTTTTCCCGACAGGTAAGCCGCACAGAAACAAGGATGTCTTGTCAAAGGCAGCGAGAAGATGTTAGTCATGAGTTATTTTGGGGGTCGGTGGTGCTGCCAAGGGGCTTATTTGTCTGAGATGTGAAAAATGTGCACGTGACTGTGATTACCTGTGGCTGTTTGCTGTGTGCACTTCTTTATTAGGTCCCATGGCCCCATATTTAGTGGGTTTGAGTCTGTGTGATGTCTGCTTGTGAACACAGACAATGTCAAGACCAGTACACCTCAGGTTTCCTCTATGTCCTGATTTTATTTTGGGATATAATTATGTGATACTGTTTTAGGTAGGAAACAATATAGCAGTAGTTTGTGATGGATTTTTGTACTGGTTCTGGTGTTTTTTTGGAATTGCTATATGAGCAGCGCTCATCCTACTGTATCTTAAATATTTGCTAATTAATGCATTAATTAGATTAATTCCAATAATGAATATACTGTACATTTGTGGGGGGATAATTGGAAGACATCAGGCAGCTCATGTGCCTCTTGTGTCAGTACTCTGAATGGACTGAAGAGTAGTGCATGAAATGATCTTTGGTCTCAAACCAGCAGGTTATGAAGAACACATGTTGCACTGCCAGAGGAGGCGCTTCTTCCTCAACTCTTCTGGATAGAAACACTTTCAGAATTACAACCTTTTAACAAACTGCTTGCTGTATTTTTCTCCTGTCTGGCTGTCAGCTGCAGTCTGAATTGTCCTGAAGCAATGTTTCACTTGTGTTTCAGTTGTTGTGATACCTCAGGAGGGGCCATAAAACTGGATTCTTTATTATCCGTGCTACTGTGCCAAGATTTATCCCATTAAAGTCTGGAATGCCCTCATGTGGGAAATAGATTGGACTTGCACAGTCCATTTCTTTGTTTAGCCCAGTTCACGTGTGTGTTTGTGTGTACGTGTGAATATGGGAGTGTAAGACTGTGTAGTCACATGTAAGGTCTGCTGTGAGGATGCCCTTCTTTTTGTTTCCCCTGAGCTATTTTTGTCTGGGCAGAACTGCAAGCTCTCTGTTTTATGTGGTTAGCGGACGTCATCGTCTCGTGTGTGTGTGTGTGTGTGTGTTTGTTGATTTGGTGGCAGGCCTGTCTGGTTTTTGCTGTAAACAAAATACAGATTTCAGGTAGGTTATTATTATCCAAGAGGCTAATGTGTGTTTCAGTGGAGAGTTTGTGTGTCACATGATTAGTTTAAAAGTAAATTCTGAGCCCTTTTCTCCTTTCAAATTAAACCTTTGGGGAAAAACACTGGTTAGATTTTGATTTGGTGCAACTATGGGTCATTTAAACATGGTGTAAATGCCAGTGAAATGCAAAAATATCAGTGTCAGGCTGATTGTCATTCACTGAACAATGATCACTCATTGATTCACTCTTCTTGTCTCTCTTCTTCCTCCCCTTCCTCTCTCACCTCTGTTTAGGGAAAAGCTGGCCGTGGCTCGCCTGCAGAGGGAAGTTGCACGGAGCAAGAGCGAAGGAACAATGGTAAAGTACAGTGGAGCAGCTCACCTATGTAATCAGCACAAAACCAAAAAAGCCAGTGTTTTCACTTCACACACATATACACACAGTATGCCAAGATGATGCATCTGCCAGAGTCGGTCTTCAGCATCTCAGAGCTTCATCTGATGATCTTCAGTCAGCATGCAGAGGCATGCATTTCCTTTAGCAGTGATTCAGTGGAAAAATAACAAAAGTAGCTGTACAAGAACTAGGCATTAATCAACTACAGTTTAAAATTTGCAAACTAATCACTTAAAATCAGGATATATGTGTTTAGGAATAAGTAAAACTACAAAGAGTTCAACTGTTGAGCACCATTTTTCTGTATTTGTCAGTTGTCAGTGCTCTGACACATTTTGGTTTTCAAACAGCACTGAGACTCAATGCCCAGTTCAGCCGTCTTGCAGGAGCAACAGGCTTTAAGGTGTGACATTACAGGTCTGCAGCAGTGTTTCTGCTGTCTGAATTCAGTTTTACTGGAAATTGCTGATGTTGTGCTTTCACTGCTTTGTTATGAGAACTTGTGAAAGCAGGTAAAAGAATTCAGGAAGTGCATATCCTTCTCTCAGCCTCTATATGTGTCTGTGTGAACGCGTGCATGCAGTAAGGGAAATCAGAATGTTAAAAGCTGAAGCGTGATGAAGCAACTGATTGCAGCCTCTGACCAGAGACTTTAACTACAGGCCCAGCTGTTCCACTGCACCCCAGTGACGCCTCTGGTTCTCTTTATGGCAGCAGGCCTAAAGCAACAGCACATAGGGGCTGATACACTCTGATATTTTTGCACTTTTGTGAGTGCTTCTTTATTGATCCCTGAAGAAGGAATGCTTGTTTCTTCTTTTCGCCTCTCCCCACAGTCAAGGAGGTCAAAGTATGGGGTCACATAGAGAACAGTGCCCCTGGAGCTGGGCAGGGAGTCAGTGTTGCTGAAGGGCACACAGCAGATTCTTGCTGTCAGACACAGCGGTTGTACTAAAGGCATGTTGAAATGCATGTTTGTGTTTGTGTATGGGTTGACAGAGATGGTCCTTCTTGTGGAGCATGAGTTTGATTTACATCAGTGTTTCATAAATGTAGCCAGCTAAAATGTGAATATACAGTACAGTGGATTATTTTAAAAGGAGATGAGTGCAGATGGGGATGAACCTCAGACTGAACCACACCAAACAGGTTAGATGTGAACGCTCCCTAATACTTCTCGTTTGTACCTATGTATACACAGTGTAACTCAGTTTGTGTTCACACCTCAAGGCCACTCCTCCATGTGCCAGCACCTCCTCCTGTAACACTAACCTTGTATTCTCTGACCTCAGCATAGCCCAAAGAAAAATGGCATTCGCCACGCTCAGAAACTCTGAGGTCCCAGCTTACACACTCACACAAGTGGATGACATGCTAATTATTACTTTAGAGGGGTGTATGAATTGCTGTGCATGCACAGGGTAGCAAGAGAGAAGGATGAGTTATCTGTGCCAGACAGGAGGGTGAGGGGGGATGGAGAAAGAAAGAAAGGAGGGGGATATCAATAAGCTCCATTTGAAATTGGGATTATCTCCTCTGGAGCCCCCTTGCACTCT